CAAGGTAGGTGGACGTGTGCACAGTTCTTGGCATGGTTAGTGAGTTCTGGCAGGATGCTGCACTGGCTCTGCTCTTCCTTGCACCAAGTGTGCCTTGTTTCTGCATTACACTGTACTAGTAGACAGGCTCTTCAGGAATTCTTCCATTCTTGTATCCCTTCCCTGTTTCTTCTGGATCTCCGATTGCTGTTCCTGTGTAATCTTTCTCTCCCTTGTAGAACTATAAGGGTTCTTACATTTGTCCCTTACTGGCAGTACTAAAGTGAGTGTTGCTAAATGTCCATCCAGTTGAAAAAGTGGATGAGGAAGACTGTTTTCCTCTCATCTGTAACTCAGGTCTAAGAGGAAGGCTGCTTTCATTAAACAAAAGCTAAAAGCTTGAAAAAGCCTGCCCTCAAAACTAAAAATGCAAAGCAAAAGGTTCAGTAATACTCAGAAATTGGAATGAGCTTTGGATTTTTATATCTGAAATGGGGAAAGAAAAGTTCAGCATTCTGTTTTGACAGCCAAATGTGGGTGACTAGGTTAGTTTCTGAAAATTAACACAATGGGAATTCACTATGAGAGAACTGCATAACTTTCTTCATATCTGATTATGTTTCCTTTGCCCTTTTTATCATGAGAACTGATAGCTGTTAGGCAGAGGGAAGGAGAATAAGTATTCACGTACTTACTCAGATTTCATTTGTTGAAATAACTAGGAGTCATTTTGTGCTCTGCTGCTTTCTTACGTGCCTGTGCTCGTGTGCCTAAAGGTGCAGCCTCTGCTGTTAATCTCTTTAACAGTATTTCAGATCTGCAGGTGTACCAGGTAACTATTAGAAGGGCTTGTGACCACTTCAAAAGCTTTTAAAGAACTTCTTATTGTGCTCCAAGAAACAACATCATAGAGTGAAGGCATTTATCTCCCTTATCTGCATAAAATCAAGTATTGTTCAGAATAATGTAATTTTGTTATTGCTGCTTGGGTTTGTTTTGAATCTGCTATAAAAGGTGCACTTTATACTTGGGAAATATCTTTTTGCTTATGTTTAAGCAAAAATTCGTACTTAATGTTAAGTCCCGAGACAGAGAATTTCTTTTCCTCAAACATGTTAATCTGAGCCTCTCTGGACTAAGAATAAATTTATAAACAATGATTTTACTATTCTTTTAAGGAATTGCAGTGTGCAAACTTTTTAAAAAAATGGTCTTACTGCATAGTTATAAACAACTAAGTGTATTTCTAAAGGACAGATGCTGCTCTGTGGAAGTGCAGATCTTCCAGCTTGAGGAGATGGTTTCTTAATTTATGTTTACCCAAGTGTGGTGTGAATGGTAACTGCAGTGGAGCCAGCTCAGCTGTAAGGAACCATGGTGCCAGGGCTGGCGGGGAAGCTCACAGGGGTTGTGCCAAGGTGGAGTATCCAGCCTCTCCTCGTGCCTTGCAGTGAAACTGCAGCCACATGGCTGTTGCCATGCCTGGGCAGAGCAGGCAGACCTCTGACTTCAGCATCCTTACAGGAGCCGGGTTGCCTTTAGGCACTGCTCCAACTATTGTGTCGGGGGAAAAAGGAAAGGTGAAGTCATGCTTCACCAACCTGGTGAAGCACCTTCACCTTCTATGATGAAACGAGTGATCTGGTAGCTGAGGGGAGAGCAGTGGATATTGTCTGCTGCAACAAGCTGTTAAGTATGGTCTGGATGAGCAGACAGTGGGGTGGAGTGAAAACTGGCTGAAGGACTGGGCCCACAGGGTGGTTGATCAGTGGCAGAAAATCTAGTTGGAGCCCAGTAACTAGTTGTGTACCCCAGGGGTCAATACTGGGTCCAGTCCCACTAGTCTTCATTACTGGATGATGGGACAGGGTCTACCCTCAGCAAGTTTGCAGGTGACACCGAACAGGGGGTATCATCAAACAGGAGGAGTGGCTGATACACCAGAGGGTTGGGCTGCCATCCAGAGGGACCTTGTCAGGCTGGAGAAATGGGTTGATGGGAACCTCATGAAGTTCAACAAGGGAAAGTGCAAAGTCCTGCTCTGGGGGAGGGTCAGGCTCATTCACCAGTGTGTGCAGGGGTCACTCACCTGGGAAGCAGCTTGGCAGGAAAGGATCTAGGGGTCCTGGTTGGACACATGAGTTGACCATGAGCCAACAATGTGCTCTTGCAGCAAAGTATGCCAATGGTGTCCTGGGCTGCCTTAGGCAAAGTAGTGCCAGCAGGCAGAGGCTCCTTCTCCTCTTCTCAGCACTGGTGAGCCCACCCCTGGAGTGCTGGGTCCAGTGCTGGGCTCCCCAGTACAGCAGAGACAGGGACAGACTAGAGAGAGTCCAGCAAAGGGCCATGAAGGGGGTGAAGGGGCTGGAGCATTTCTGCTAAGAGGAGAGGTTGAGGGAGCTGTGACTGTTCAGCCTGGAGCAGAGCAGGCTCAAGGGGATCCCATCAGTGTGTATAAATACCTGGAGGGAGGGTGCAGAGAGGACGGAGCCAGGCTTTTCTCAGTGGTGCCCAGGGACAGGACCAGAGGCCACAGGCACAAACTGGAACACAGGAGGGTCCTTCTGAACATGAGGAAACACTTTTTCACTGTGAAGGTGGCTGAGCACTGGCACAGGTTGCCCAGCGAGGTGGTGGAGTCTCCATCCATGGAGATACTCAAAAGCTTCCTGGACGCGGTCCAGCTGGCTCTGGGTGGCCCTAATGGAGCAGAAGTTGGACAAGGTGACCTCCGGAGATCACTGCCACCCTCAACCAGCCTGTGATCCTACCCCAGTGCTACTGGCAGAAATATAAAATGGGCCTGCAGTCAGGGGATGTGTGTCGGCGAGGGGTGAGGCAGGGCTGAGAGGCCTGTGAAGAGGATTGGTTCCCAGTGGCTTCCTGGGCAGCCAAGCTTTATTGGAGCCTTTCCCCAGCCTGTTTGGTGATGGCTTGCACCTTCAGTGCTTTCTCTGCTGCTGCCACCATTTACTGCAGCAACAGTTTCTACGGGGTGGGGAGGATGTTCCTCCTTTTCTCCCTGATCTGAAGGTGGGGGCCACAGGCTACTAGTCCTGGGATGTGGGGGGTCTTGTTAATTTGGGGGCTCTGCTGCGTGCCCCCAGCTATGCTTGCAGGCTGTGGTGACAGCAGTGGGCATTGCACCTCAACAAGCAGTCTCGGTGAGGACACATGGGCACCTCATCATGCGTCAAGGTCCTCAGGGATGGTGCTTCACAGCCGGTGGCACCTGCGTACAGGAGGTTGGGTGCCCTGAGTGGCTGTAGTGGGCTCCCGGCATGTGCTGCTGGGGGTGTCCAGGAGCCCCGTGGGGAGGGTACAGGGATGGAGGGATCTGCTCCCCTCAGGGCACCTGGTCAGAGGAGCTGTAAACAACACATGAGCCAAGCCTTACAGTCATGGGATAAGGGAGGTGATAAGTGCCACCACTTGTTGGTGGCACTCCGTGGGAGGGGTAAGGGCAGGAGAACATTAATTTTTTCAGTTGGGAGGATACAGAAAGGAAGGGAGACAAACCTCATCCCACTAACTGATGGACTCTCAAGAAGCTACAGGCAACCAGGACTTTGCAGCTGGTTGGAGTGTAACTCTGCAGGTCTGGGGCATTGGAGGGGATTGGTGGGACTCCACAAGCAGAGGAGGAGGGAGGAATGAAGAGGGTGTAGGCAGAAAAGGGGTATAAAATGGTTGCGTGTAAAATGGGGCTGGTCAGTGAGTTGTCTGCCTGAGCCCCGCACCTGATCTGTCTTACCTTCTGTGTCCTGTTGTCTTAAATCCCTTCTTAACTCTTTCTCTGTTAATCTCACATAGCCTGTGTGGATGTGTGCTGCAAGGACAAGGTGCCAGCCGCTGGAGAGACCAGCGTGGGTGGGTTTGGGGCCAGCAGCTGGGGTCAGACTGGGGCTGTAGGCGCCTCTGGTGTCAGCTACTGGAGCGGGTGGGAGTCCCAGTGCCAGCTGCTAGGGGGTGAGTGGCTGTGTTGTCCCCAAACTGGGTGTCTATGGGGGAGGTGTGTGTCATTTGCAGGTAAACTTTTAAGCTCAACCATCTGGTGTGTATGGGGCTGTGGTGGGGCTAAGAGGGCAGGGATGCGGGCAGGGGGCTGGGCAGGTTGAGGCAGCTGTGTTCCTTGGGTAGATGCTGGGGTCCAGCAGCTGGGCAGGAGGGTCCTGGGCTGGAGCGGCTGGAGGAGGCCACAGCTCCTGACATCCTTCAGCACCCATCAGGTCAGGGAGGGATGTGCAACGTAGCCTGGACACCCCTGAGGAGGAAGCCATGGTCCTCAGGAGGTGATGGGATAGATAGAGTGGATGCTGCCAGAGGGGGATGGGTCCCCACAACCCCCTGGAGCAGCGCCCTGGGCCGACCCCCCAAGCTTGCTGCGGGCACACAGCCCCAGGCTGCGACAGAGCACGGACGGTGCTCTTGCAGCTCCCGGCCTGCTCGCTGTCACTTGCTTTGCACAACTTCATGGTGCCATGCATTGTTTCTAGGGCAAGGACAAAGCTGGGAGCGCAGCTCTGCCTCTTTATTGATGAGTGGTCACCATATTGCCTGCCAGCCCTGGCAGCACCATCCCCAGGGGCAGTGGCTGGTGGGGCAGAGGCTGCCTGGACTTGCTTGGTCCTGCTGGTATCATGCTGCTCTCGAAGCTTGCTTCTCCATGTGGGACTGTTTGGTGCTTGGCCCCACCATGCACTCTCCTCCTGGGGTGGCTCTACGTCATCCTGGCCAGTGCCATGGTGGGGGCCAGTCCTGCAGCCACCCTGGCATGGTGGCAGCAGCACTGCAGGGGTCTGAGATCCCACTTGCAGACTGTCCCCATCATGCTGCCCCCACCAGCTGTTGGCACATGAAATGGGGACATTGTCAGGGACAGGGTGGAGGGAGGCAAGGGTGAGGCTGTGCACCATCCCAGCAGGCTTGGTGAGTGTTGGCAGGGAACAGCTGTTCACGAGACATCAGTCCCAAAGCATCCCCCCTGATGCCACCTCTGTCCCCAGGTGTGGGTGGCAGGGTCAGACCAGGCCCCACACTTCCAGGTCTTGGATGCAGAACTCTTCCCAGCGTGAGAGGGTCTCATTGTCAAAAGTCTTGCAGGGGTGGCTGCCCCTGTAGTGCAGGTCTCCGTCCAGCCACAGCCCAGATTTACTGCTGGGAAGGTGCCAACGGCATGGTTGGCTGAGAGTTCCCTCCCCTGCCTCCTCCATGCCTGGAGACCTCCCCAGCCACCTCCCTGTCCCCAAGTCCCAGCTGCCCTCCTGCTGAGGAAGCCAAGCACAAGGGACAGGCACAACGGGGATGAGACAGGACAAGCAGCCACCCCTGGGGCTGCTACCCTGCCTGCAGGCAAGGAGCAGGCAGGCCTGCCAGCAGCAGGGTCAGGGAGATGAAATGGCTAGTGCTGCTGGACAACCTCCACTGGTGTTTTTGGGTTCAAACCACTGGCACTGCCTGGACCTAGCTCTGCAGGGCAGCCTGGGCTCAGATCATGGCCCTGAAGGCCATTGGGGCTGGGGACCCAGTGGGCTGCTGAAGCTGCCGGTGCAGCTCCTACCTGCCCCCACCAATCATCAGCAGATCTATGTCCCCTTTCACAAAGAAGTTGTTCCTGCCTGTCCACCTGAACACCTGTGTGAGGACAGCAGTTGGCTGGGACTGTGGGCTGGGGCGTAACATCCCCATCCCCACCCCTGTTCCTGTCCTGCAAGGGACAGCTGGGAGCTGCTGATCAAAGCTTGCTCTGCCTGTCTCCACTGTGTCCTGCTTCTCCAGAGGAAGACCTGGCTGAACCTGTGGGCACCATCCTGGTGCTGGCCCATCCCTGCCAGCAGTGCTGGGGGCCCCCCAGGGGATGGCTGCCACCCACTGATGCCACCAGCCCCATCTCACACACGGACCCCCACTACTGCAGGCAGATGTGGCTGAGCTGCCTCCATGTCCCACTGATGCTGGGCTGCGACTGCCCTGGCATGCAGACGATGCCTGGTGATGCCTGGCCGGGTAGGGTTCCCTTCCCTGAGCCCCCCTCCCTGCATGGCTGGCTGGGATTTGCCTTCTCCCTCCAGCCCTGGATGAACCCAGGGAACTACAGCTGGTAGGGTCCCCTGGCTGCTTCACCCACATCCAGCCAAGTGCAGTCATGTCACCCCAGACCACTCCCCAGCACCTTGGGGACCCCCTAGCATGGTCAGGTCCCAGGGGCATCACCAGCCCCCCCACTCTGGGGTGCCCTGTGGCTGGCAGCCTGCAGCGCCCACCTTCAGCTCTGGGGAGAAGAAGAAAAAGGTCTCCCCTGTCCTGTAGAAGCCATTGCTGCAGCAAATGGTGGTGACAGAAAAGGCACCGAGGGCCTGGGGGGAACAGAGAGGGAGACTCCCATGCCGCGGTGCTTGGTGGAGCTCCCCAATGCCAGAGCGTGTCCCCCATCCTGCTGTCAGCAGTGTGGATGTGGCCAGGCCCTGGGTGATGCTGTGTTCGCTGCCCCCAGTGCCATGGGGCAGCTGGGCTGGGGAGGGCCCAGCTGTGCCTCTGTGTCCCTGATGAGCAGCAGGGTGGGGGAGCCTAGCTGGCCCCTGAACCAGTACAGGGTCTGCAGGCTGAAGCTGTCCTGCCTGCTGCAGCACAGCAGGTGCCAGGGCTGCTGTGTCAGCCGGGGCGGGGGGGGGCAGGTGGGGCCCCAGCTGGGGCAGAGTGGGCTCAACCAGGGCTGGCAGGCTGCTTCTGAGCATCCTCCCCCACCCCAAGCATCCCCCCTGAAGAGGTCTCCCCAGGCATCCTCCCCACCTCATGCCCAGTATCATCCCAAGACATCTCCCCAAGCACTCAAACCCCTCCCAAGAGACCTCCTCCCAAGTAAGCATCCTCCCAAAAGGTGTCCTCAAGAATCCTGCTCCCCAAACATGTTCCCAAAGGGTCTCCTCAAGCTCCTGGTCCACCCAGCAGCCTCCCAGCATGCTCCCCCACAAGCATTCTCATCCTGAGAACCCTTCTGACATATGTCCCTGAGCATCCTCCCCCCCCACCCCCTGCAACCTCCAAGAGGCACTGCTGAGGTGGCTGTCCCCTGGGACAGAGAGATGTCACCCATCTGGCCTTGCACTGGACCAGTTCCTGGCAGAACAGCGGCCATGGCTGCACGGCGCAGGGGAGGTGCGTGTGTGTTGGGGTTCTTGTGCTGGTGGGAGGCTCCCTTACCTCCTGGATCTCCCTGTCCTGCAGGATGCTGCTTGGTGTGCTCAGCACCAGCCTGCACAGCTCCTCCAGTGCAGGGGCCACTGCTGGGGCTCCCTCCCAGCCTGGCTGCCCCTCTCCGGCCAGCTCCCCACATCCCACAGGCAGCTCCTCATCCTGGTCAGGCTGGGGGCAGGTGGAGGTGAGCATCTCTGGAGGTTCCGGGGGATCAGCATCCCTGAACCCACCCTGCATGGAGTGTGTCCCATCCAGGGGCTGGGTGAAGGGGCCCAAAGGCCACAGGGATGGGCACTTGGCTGAGCCTCCAGCCAAGCCCCTGGCTGCCTGCTGCTCCCAACAGCCCTGCTGGGCCGTGCCATGCCCTCGGTACCCTGGCCAGGCCATACCACCACTGCATACAGAAGTACCGGGGGGGTGTGTGGGGGGGGGGCTGCCTGAGGAGGAGGTGGAGGGAGAGGAGGCAAAGGAGGCTTTCACAACTGCAGCCCAACCTCAGCCCCAGCAGAAGGGGTGAAGCCCAGCTGCTCCCCTCCTTGTCCACAGCTGGGCTGGCCCCGCAGTGCATGGGGTCAGGGATGTGCCTTGGTCCTGGTGGCAGCTGGTGACAAGTGTCTCAGCCAGCCACACGCTCAGGGCCGCTGTGGGTGCAGCCCCTGCCAGAGGGCAGGTGGGCAGCAATTCCCTGCCACAGGTGGGGGACCGGCAGAAAACCCCCCAAGGGCACAAGAGGGCAGCCCCAGGCAGCAGGAGATCTCCTGCCCCGAGGGTGCTTGGATCC